CGCTAAACTGCAGATATCTAGTTTAGGTCGGATTTTCGTGAAAGTACTTTCAATATCTGAATGTTCTTTAACAGAAGAAATTTGTAATTTGCCTCTTCCTCGATAATATATTAGTTTGGCAATATTTGCCATGTGAAATCAAATGAAGATTTAAGAGCAAATAATATTTAAAGGTTGCATATTAAGAAAATTGTTTCCATGAGATATATTCAATTATTGTCATTATTCTGTCTTTCTCTTTATCGAGATTGCATTTATCTAAAAAATGTCCGACAATGAGTAATCATTTCTATGTGACAGGGTGAATGCCATGACTTTGTTTAATCAAGTTGACCTTCTGTCTGAACTGTTAGTTAGACTAAGCCTTAAGTCATCAATGAACCAGCTGATCAACATGCGAGGAAAAATAAGGTAAAAAAACTACAAAATGTTCGAACATACTTAACAACGCTTATTTTAAAAGAAAACTAGTGTTTTACTTGCATGGATGATATATACAGAAAACGATACTTTTTCTTTAATTTATAATACATTGATATCTAATTGATAGATGCAGTAACATTTACAGTTCATTTGTCTCTTCCAATTAAAACGTGTTTGTGTCATACATTGTACATACATTTTTGATAAAATGTCACTTAGTAGCATTGAATAAAACATAAATGACATTACTTAATCCTAGATGAGACTATCGAGATTAATCTAATGAATAAAAAAAACTTTAGCGTCTTCTGTTGACAGCTTTGTAGAATCTTGTAGGCGTTCCTTTCATATTAAAGATGAAAATGTTTTGAATTATAGTATCTTTGGAGTAATGACCCTACTCGTTTCAGTTTTTCTAACAGTTCTAGCAACAACCTTTTCACAAATATTCAACCAAACCTTTTCAATGTCTACCATTTGTAAAGCACTAATTACAATGCTGTTCCAAAGTTATTTAATTAACTCGGATTGAATGAATTGAAAATTTTTGGAACATTTATTTCATATGTTTCAGACATCAACGCACACGCATAAGTAATTGTCAATAGCCGGAATTAGAAGGGTAATACAAATTTACAAAATGTTATAGTGTTGTTACTTAACTTTGACAGGATTTCTCAATAATTTCAAACGTCATACATGTAGGTAAGCGATTTAGACGGACTGTTATACCTGTTATGCGTTTGTTGGCGTTTTTATTGTAACACATTTTGTGCCCTATATTTGTGCCTATAAATTGTATTTCGTTGACGTCTATTAAATGACAGCTTCTCAACAGACTAATGATTTTTAATTTTAGCATCTACTGAATAAAATAAAAATTAATACAAAAATCATTTTTAAGGGCTTTCTTCTGTGTTGCTTTTTACAAGCATAATGATTCCATGAAGTTTTTTTTAGCACAAAACGGACTGTTATGATTCTAAACAAATAAACGAAACAAAACATGATAATTATCACTGTTTAACAACATTCATTTAAGTTAAATTGTAGAATTCAAGTAAGGGTAATCCAAATTTAGTATTTGTAGGATGACAAACTTACACATTGAGGACATCTGATATATAATAGGAAAGAATGTAAAAGAATCATTAAAAAACAAAAATGACATGTTGCATGACCCTAATTATCGTTCGGAATGAAAAGGTTCGCATGTAAACATTCACTGGAAGGAAGCTGGCAATATTTTGTGAAACTATGGAAGAATTACCCTTCATGCTAATGATATCAAATTAAAAGAAACCTAACTTCTTGCGTTAGTCCCAATAGCTAGACAAAGCCAATCCGTGTTCCTTTTCGTTTTTAGGTTATTTTACAGATCAGCATTAAAACAAAGGCTTTAATTTTACTAAATCAGTAACAGTTGTGATTGTAGCTTTATTTAATAATAAAACTAGACAGAGAGACAAAACTCAGTCAAGACAAAATAACAGCAATCTAGAACTATTTAAAAGGCACAAACAGAGCATGTTTATGTTCTATTTATTTGTCAAGAGATTTCATGTATCAAAATGACATAATTTTATATAATACATGTATTCTTAAATGTTCATTAGAAAGATAATTGCATGTTATTGCGTGTGTGCAAAATATATAAAATGTTAATGAGGTTTGTTCGCATAGATTATATGTTCCATTCACATTATTTACATTTAAAAATGGAATGTGTCGTGTTTATTAAGAAAAATCATAAAACTTTATATCTGTTAGAAAAAAAGGGATATACGTTGCTTTGAGAATGTTTAATATAGCTTAAATGTTGTTTTAATACAAATTTGTTTCAGTTCAAATGTGATATGTATAATATAGCAAAACATGTACTCTCGAAGAAATGAGTACAACGTTTCATGATCAAAGAATTAACAAACACACTTACCCATGACAGTGTTTGTACCAATTCGGTGATAAAATTTTTTCTATTGAGAAATATAATAAGTTATAGGTTCGAAATTGATATTCAAACATCATTACTTAAATCAAAGAACATACTGTAAGATGTCACATTAAATGTGACTTTGCAGTTGTATTTAATATGTCTGCATACAATTTAGCATTACACGAACCCCAGGTAATTCTTGACTAATTATGTGTAAAATTATGTGCAAAGTATAAAGTGTTTTTTGAAAATGAATGAGATCATGATTAATTTTGCTTATTTAAGGGTAAATAAATATAAAGATAACAAATGAAGTATAATGAAAATGAACATAAACTCAAAATAAACTACCTAGAAAATACCATAGCATTTAAAGAAATGAAGTGTATTTTCACTTTAATGGTGTTCCTAAACACTGAAGGAATTTTCGTTCAAATATTACATTTTTAATTCCGTCACGATTTTATTTGCTCAGAATAATTATAGCTTTGGCATTTAAAGAGAAAAATTTGAACAAAATGTTAATGTAATGCTATTACAAGGTAGTTTTCAGAACAATAAAACTTATTGCATTCTGTCTAATTTTAAGACAATTTAATCTTATAAACTTAATTTGTTTTAGAGATACAATCACATATCAATGTTCGTCACACAGTTTGCTAAATTGATACGTTCGTGAAAGCGAATGGTCAGAAATAAGTTGTTATTAAAGCCAATGTACGCTTAGTGGTTACATTTATTACATTAATACAAATTAAAAAAAAAATGATAACAGCAATAACAAATAGGCATTATAACTATTGTAAAAATCATCAATAGCATTGGTACTTATGATTTTGTCCATTTTACAGCTTATGTAATGTTTTATACAATCATTAGTTCAGGCCAAAGCTTTGGATTTAAGTATTAGTGCATTCTGAACAGACATAAATTCAAAATAATTTTTAAAATGTTAAAAAATAGTTCTACCACGTGAATGTTGATGTTCACTAAAACATAGTGTGTAATCTTTGCATGAATAGCATTGAATGCCCTTTTATCGATATTCTGATTAATCAAGAAAGCTTGTTAATTCCGCCTTTCGAACCTTCACATTTTTTTCGATATATCATTATGCATACCAGTCAATCAATAAACGCAGAAAGAGCAAAAGTGTAAAAGTAAAATGTTTTACAAACCAGATACCTTTTATAATCCTAGTTATTTCTATTTCCATCCAAAGTTAGAGGAACACTTATGTATCCATCTGCGAAATACAAGATACATCAGATTCAGTCAATGCATGAAATCTTTACAATTTATCATTTTCTTCAGCATCTCGATGAATATTGTTTACATACAGCAAATTATTCTTTTAATTTCTATATGTCTAAATAACTCAACTACGGATTTTCTTTGTCAACGAGCAAACTAATTCGAATGGACAAATCATTTACATATATATTTGAAAATAATTCGATTTTATCAAGAGTGTAAATTTTGTTTAAATGTTTCTTTAATAAAGCAGTACAAAAGAAAAAGAACGGAATCTTATATATATATATATATATATATATATATATATATATATATATATATATATATATATATATATATATATATATATATATTGGTGTAAGTGTCAGATAAGCAAAATCATTTAAGATTTTTATCCAAATTGTCTACATTTTCTAGAACTTTGGAAAGATTGTCATTAAATTTTCTGTTATGCTTTAAGCAGATAGGACCTGTATGCCAGTCAGTTTTATGAGACAAAAGATCCCCAAGATTACTTTTATATAAAGATATAAGCAATTGCTGTTGAAAATGTTGAGTGATGATTAAGAAAAATATTGCTTATAGACCACTATGCATCTTGATGGAATGTATTAAGTGTTGGTGTGTAAAGCAAACTTTATTGAATAATGGTGTTACTTTTACAAAAATCATAATGCAATTTTCCTCAAAAATAGTAAAGAGTTATGAATAGTTCCCATTTTATCTGAATTATTTTTGCCTGGGTTTATATATAGATCAAGAAAATTCTTTTCTTACAATATCCATGATTGACTGTATATGTCATTTAAAAGTGTGCCAAATAATCTGATTACTGCTGTCAGGTACACTCCGAGGCAGGTCTTTCCCCTGGTGTCCGCAGCCTCAGATATGCAGATAAATGCCAGAAGCAAAGGAAGCGTGTCCAGGAAAGATCGGCACTGCCATCGACTAAGCGGCGGCGACTACAACTAAAACAAGAGCTGTCAATAACACAAGGTGCTCAAGAAGCTCTTGAAGGCATGTCCTATCAGTCAGGTAGATAAAGTGATTTGTGCTGTGTTTTTTCTACTTACACAACAAACATATGAGCCGTGTCACGACAAAACCAACATAATGGGTTTGCGACTAGCATGGATCCAGATCAGCCTGCGCATCCATGCAGTCTGATCAGGATCCATGCTGTTCGCTTTCCAACTCTATTACAAGTAGAGAAACTGATGGCAAACAGCATGGGCTGGTCAGGATCCATGCTGGTCGCAAACCCATTATGTTGGTTTTGTCGTGACACAGCTCATATACATGTATTTTGACAAAATACTGCCAGTCTTGCAGGTACTGGTGTTTTCCTTCTACTTTTCCTTCTTCGAACATCATTAGAAGCTTGTAACTATAAACATTACTAAAACAAAGTTTGCAAATTACCTTTCGTTTCCTTTTATAGGTTATATTCTAATCTATATATTTGTATTTAAGAGATCGGGCATTCAGATAATGCTGACATCCAAAAGCTGCCAGATCCAGTCCCTCGTGGTGACTTCAAACCTATAGCGCTGCCAAAAGGACAGCCTACATACATTGCTTTTGACCTGGAGACAACTGGCCTTAGTAAGTAGACCTGTATTGCGAATTTGTTGATATATATCATGTGAAAACTGTAACACAGTTGCTTTCATTTTAGATTATCGTCCTTCAATACTAGGTTGAGTGATTAGTCGTCTCTTAAAATATAATTGTAAAAAAAAATGCAATATATCAGGAATGGTTTATCATTATTTGGAACAAGCTGAATTAGAATAAGATCTCAGATTATTATAAGAGCACATAAAACAGCTCAAAATTATTTATTTATAAATAATTGTGTTGTTTGTTTCAGTACACGATGGCCAGATCCCACATATTACCCAGGTTGCTGCCACAGAACCTAAAAGTGGAAAAGCTTTCAATATGTATGTTCTACTTACATTGCCCATATCTGACAAGGCATAAGAAGTGACCGGCCTAAGAATGGTGGATCACAAGATGCAGTACAATGGAACTAATGTAGAGGCTTATTCCATATATGAAGCTTTGAAATCATATTGTGATTGGTTAGAAAAATTTCAGAATGTTGTATTGGTTGCGCATAATGGCAGAAGATTTGACTTTCCTGTTTTGTTGACGGCATGTGACACTGTAGGATTGAGGGACAGAATGTGTAAGTGTGTTGCTGGATGCGCGGATTCACTGTCTATATTTAGAAAAGCATACCCAAACAGGAAGTCTTACAAACAGGAAGACCTTGCAAAAGATCTATTGGGAGCTTCATACTGTGCTCATAATGCTTCCGAAGATGTCTCGATTCTTGGTAAACTTATTCACCACTTGGACATATTATCTGTTGATCTGCTGCCACACACATTTTCAGCAAAATCTGTGTACAATTCTCAGTTGTGCAGTCGGGAAAAAGCAAAGAATTTGCCGTCACTTAGAGTATTGATTTATAATAGTGTGTGTAAGTTAACTACAGCCGAGAATATTGCTGCATCCGGCTTAAACCTACAACATCTAAGGTGCATCTTTAAGCGCCAAGGCGAAGATGGTCTTCGGAACATTTTCGTGATGAAGAACTGTGACGGTCAGCCACGAGTAACTAATACTAAAATAACATTAGAAACTGTTATCGCTGCCCTTGCACAGTATTTTTCAAGGAATTAGTGTATGACATAGCATTTTTATATGATATACTTCTGTGTTGCTCCAGAGGTGATACTTTGGGAATAATACAGTTTAGTACACTGGTCGTGCTCTTTCTAAAGTCAGAACAATACGTTGAGATCCATTTCAAGTTGACAATTTTTACATTTACTCAGTATATACAGTAATTAACATATTTATAGAATGCTTAGAATATAGCTTCATGATAATTAGGTCATTTTGAGAATGTTTGATACTTTTCAAAATGTATTTTGAATTTTACATGACGAAATGTGTACTGTTGATGAAAAATGGCCAAAATCAGATTATGGGGTTGTCAAATTTAATGCTGTATATTTTACAAACAACATGGTAAATGCTTCTCTTATTTTTCTCATATGGTATGTTAGATAATTTCTATGTATTTCAATTGGCTGGACCTTGTAAGAAGGTTATAGAAAATTCTTAGAAAAATTGAAGTACAAGTCTACATTTTCACGATTTTGCCATTTTCCGAGTGACAAGGGTAACATATATTTGTTTTCATAAGTTTTATTGCAAATACTGTCACTCAAATGATATTTTATTTTGATAATATAATAAATGTACTACAATTTGGTACCAAATTTCTAATGTTTTTGCAATATCTGTTGAAAATAAGCTCATTTCTATAGTTCAACTCTAGCAAATTTTACACGATCCAGAAAGGGAAAGGCCGAAAACATACACTTGGTCATAATTTTCTTATTAGATGGTAAAAGTCAATGAACATTTGCAAACATGCCAGGCATGTAGCATAGATTCAATAAATATTAACATTCCATAGGTTCTAAGATATGTCAATGATGGGTCTAAGACCTTAAAAGTTGCAATAAAAAAAGTGTATAGAAAGTTCTTGTACAATCACTTCTGTATCAAACAAGAAAAAATGTTGATTAATACGTTCAATATTAGAATGTTATTGATTAAGCAAATATTAAAAGGGCGACGAATGCAGAAATGAAATAAAATTGTTCAGACAGAATCAAATACAAACCGGGACAAAGGTTTGCATGAAATCATACGGGAATAGATGGAACAGTTTATTTGTAAAGTAATTTAAAAAAGAATATTTATTCTGTTATATTACGAATAAGAGCAAAAGTAAGGCCACATTTTTAAATATCTAATTCATTTAGACAACACTATGTACATTTAATTGAAAGATCCGCGTATATGTGAACAATATATGAGCTGCGTTCAAAAGAAAGCATTTATTGTCAAATCAATTATCTTCCAAAAATTATAGCTTTCTAAGCTATATATTTTCCAATTATTTTATGGATGTAATTATATCAAAACTTTATCTCCCTGTGAAATGTTGATGATTAAAATATTTTTGATAGTGTATGATTTTTGTATTTTAGTCAATTTAGTCATTTATAGCGGATGTTGGTGATTTTAGAAAAGAACAGAATCTTTCAATTTAGGAGGAAATTCGAGACATTTGCTCAAAACAAGTCACCAGTGATGATAACGTCCTCGATTCATGCTGACAACATCATTCTAAATATATCATCGAAAAAGGACATTCGTTCTACTTACACGTAAACAATTCTATTCCATAATATCAGCATTTCAATGGCAATCATTTTATTTCCTTAAGCACACAAGTTGTCATTTAATCGGAGCTATATGTATTCACAAAGTAAAAAATGATAAAATATAAATCATTTGTTATTTTTTCATAACAAATCGCTGTGATTTATTTGCGACATGGAATTTATATTTATTATGCTATTGTAGAGTCATGAAATGATTTGTTTGCGCTATGTTCGCATACTATAAGAACATAGGCTCTTGATCAAGTTGTGGTTTATCATTCCAATCAAAGAACTTGAAAAAAATGTACAATGTTATATTATTTGTTTATTGTGTTCAACAAACGTATTTGATTGACATCTGTTTTGTTGCAATCTGACGATAAATGTTATGTGAGAAATTAAAAAAATATTTTCCATTTTTATAACGAAGATGTATAATACGAACGCGTATAACTAAGACGTATTTTCGGCACATGTACCAAGAAGTGTATTAAAATAATTCCTAAAAAGCTGTTAAATATCACTTTACAGTGATTTGTCAATAAAGTATTTATAATTATTACAAACGTAACAAATAATATAACTTTTTGTATATAAAATTAATGCTATTTTGTTTGTACATCTTGAGCTGAGTAAAATATCATTTGACAATCAATAATTAAACGAAAAACATAACTGTCATTTAATTGACATCAATTCACTCAGAAAATAAAAGCCTTGTACGCTGAGTAAGACAATGACAATATATCGAAATGTCCGTAAATTGAATGTAAATAGATTACAGTGATTTTTAACGAATTGACCCAATCACTTACCGTGTTTGATAATCAATAAGATAATACCAAAGAGATTCGTATTTAAGATAACGTTAAATGTCATGGCCTGTAGACTGTCATATTACCTGTATTATAATAAATGTAAAGTAGGATATCTTCTCTGCTTTAAAAAGATATATAAGTCTTTGTAAATACACGTTTCTTATATTGTACTTATACAAAAGTGATGGCAGTACATTGCGTGTTAAGAACCATTTTATGTCTACTTTGTGAATATCATTTTTGAGACTTTGGATTAAGTGATTATTTCAATATCTGCTTCTTAGTCAAGAAGAAGTCGTTATTTCAAATTTTAAATTGAGTAATATTTGACCGTGAGTCTGATATGTGCTGATTCAAAATAATGTTCATAAAGTAAAACACTTTACAGGCACAGAAATGATCCTCAGGAAAAAAGTCATTAAAAAACAACATTGCAATCTATGAAAGGAGGCCGACAAAAAAGCCAGTGTCTAGGACAAATGTTGTAAGATTCAGATACAAACCGCATTTTAGAATTATTAAGAAGCGTTGATAAGAGCTCTAAATACATAATTTTACATAGAGTAAAGATTTCAAGGATATATTTCTTAAAACAACATTTATGCAATATATCATTATATATCCGGATCAGGGTTTTCCTGTCAAGGATAATAAAAAAGAAGTAGTCTGACATTTACAAGGTACTATTTTCAGACACCTTTCCTATATTATATCATATTTGCTACATTGCTTAAATATCAAAGCAATCTTATGTGATTCCGAGGGATAATGAGTAGAATGGCATTGCTTTTAAAATATTTGTAACGAAGTACAATGAAATGCCATTTTAAATCAACTACAACTAATACTAAACATACAGTTTATACGTATATATTAAGCGAATTTGATTTGTAACAATACCACTTTATCTGAAAATATGCATTGACGTAGTAGACAACAACACATTCGTCAAATTAAAGCAGGGCTACATATATTTCCACATCTGTTTATGTTTCAATCAATTTATTAATCTATTATTTAGAAAAAAATGGAACAGCAGCAAAATTGTCTGTTTCATTTGTAATAATGTTACTTTAAAGGCTTCGTGATATTATGATGGTGCACTTAAAAAAAGACTTTTATATGCAAAATAAGAACTAGAAAGGCACTACAATTCAGAATTATTTTTGTATGGATTTAACCTCTTTACGATTTTTAAGATGCAACTGTGAACTGTTTTAAAATGCACTTGAAATCCTTTCAGCAATTTAAAGTTTGTGTATACGTGTCGCAACAATATTTAATCAGATGGCATACTGTTCATTTCCTTGCTGTAGAGTTTTATAGCTTCACACTATCTCCTCTGTTCAGTAACATGTGTTAAACAAACCAACAAAAGTTCCAAAATGTCCAAATACATACACATCTGTAATAATTAAATCATACAAACACAGAAAACTGCCTTATGAACAATGCGTTATGTGCAGTTGCCTAAAGCACGTCTTATTTATTATTTACCAGCCAGGGAATGATTGCTAGTTTTCAATATTCAAATACACATGAAGTCTTTTTTTTTTGCTAATGCCATTTCATATATGAGACGTTAAGTAGATTGTATAACAAAAGCAATTCGTGTTGACTAATTTCTAATTTGCTCAAAATATCATTAAAAAAAAAGCTTTCCGTTAACGATAATGTATTGTGTTTAAAGAATCTTAAACACCCAAGCAACTCTGATTTCAGTGTCAATTAATATGTCAAATTACTTTTACCTTATAAATGAGTCCCATGACATTTTAGTTACTAAACATAAAAGTATGTCTTAATTATTCCAAAATTTAACACTAAACAATGTCCTATAATTTAAATTGAAGATGTTTTTTTTGTGCTGAAAGTATAGCTTTGTGTATGCCTAAAATTATTAATGTAATGCGTCTAATTGTTTTATACATAATAGTTTTAAATAATTGATATGAACATATAAGAAGTTGTACAATATATTATGAGAAAACATTCATTTCAATTTGGATACTCGTTATGTCATCCTGCATAATTTCATGAATTTTAACTCTTTGATAGCAACGCGGTCCAAATGACAACCAGTACCAGTTATTTGTCCTTATAAATCGATATCGGTTCAAATACGCTGTAAGCATTCATTTATTACATCAGAGATATACAGCAAAACTAACACTTTCTATAAGATATTTATTTCAAAGAGAGAAAATATGATACTCTGGGCATACGTAATAAATGATTTGTTTCTTGTAATTATCGGAAATTATTTAAACCATAATAAGGAGGCAGTTAACATTTTCGTTATTTTAAAATCAAACTCTTATTTCTAGATTTATAACTCCGAAAACTAGCAAAGTGCTAAAATTCATTGGTTTTTTTTTTTGCCTTTACGCACTTAGTAAAGTGATTTGTATATCTTAAGTTACTAAATATAAGTCATGAAATATTTAATGTTAGCCTGCCTATTCGTCTTTAACTAAAAACTTGTGTGATGATTAATGCATATTTGAAAAATTATATGCATACAAAGAGAAAAGCTGAATATTAAATAAAATTGATGATAAGTATGACAAGATTTTTGTTTAGATTTGAACTATCATACACATTTAAAAAGTATATTATTTAACTCATAATACAATTCATCGTCTCGTGTCTATTTGGTTTTGATGATATCAATATGGCACTTGCAATAACATTTCGAAATTATAATCACAGTCACAAAATATTGATTAAGGTTTTTAAAGCATATTTTTGAAAAGTGCCATTCTGTTTTTCATACCACTCACTCTAACATACACAATAATACATCTCCAACTTTATTTTTTTGTATATTATCGCGAGAGGTACAAGATAGAGTGTTAAAATTATATGGATTACATTCAGAAAGAGGACATAGTAATTAGACCATTACAA